TCCGACGTCAGACGAATGGGAGCCATTGAATATTGACGGACTGCATTAGGTTTTTACCCCATCTACCTTTGTTATTATAACATAGGCTCGGAGCCACACGGATTACGAGGTACCTACCTACACAGAAAGCGCAGTAATAGCCGCGGAAGAAAAAATATTGCCCGGACGCTCAGGAAATGCAAACTGAACAAACGCGTTGGCGTAAGACTATAGTGCGCGAATTGATGGATTTTATTGCGTTAAAAAATGCAAGTAAAAAAAAAAAAGCCACTGTTCGACGGACGGAAAAATGCTAGCAGAAATGTTTTTTTTTTTGCTGTTGAAATTATGACTTAATTTTTAATACGCGTTAAATCCCTTTGGTTATGCCAGTACACTGCGGTTTTATAACCATCGTCGCGCGATAACCGTATTCGTTATTTTCATTTGTTCTGGAGAATAATATTAACGAACTTAAATTTAACTAATTGGTAAAACCACTCTAATTACTATTTCAATAGCGTTATAAGTTAGTCCACAGTTCATTCGAGGTACGTTTCTGAACTGAAATTAAATACTACGTTTCGAATACATTTTGTTTTACATATATTTTATACAAGCCAATAGAATTAACATGTAATTATGCTACGGACAAAGCAAACGCTGAAAATAATTAAATTACTGTTTTAAACGGTTATATTTATTTATTGGTATTGAATAGTGAATACTATAAGTATTAAGAAAATAGTTATTTTACGTCTACCTTATATAAACAATTCATCTGGATATAAGTTTTGAAGGAAGCTGCTCCCTATTGTGCGTAGATTGAAGATTATAAAATAATTTTAATTTTATAAAATGTCTTATCTCAAGAAAATGTCTGGTGCTATTAATAATACATGGAATTAAAATTAATTAAAAAATTAAGCTATTTATGATGTGATTTTTTTTACTGAACCTGGAGGATGCCTTTTAATCGTATTATATTATAATAGTTGATTGTTATTAATTAAATTATAACTCTTATACGGAATACTTAATATTATGTCAACAAAATAATTAGGTTTAAGTTCTATATATTTTTTATTAGAGTTAACGATTTAATTTTCAGTTTAAATTTAAGTAATAATTTAATAAATGTGTTGGGTAAGCCACACTTGTCTTGAAATTTTACGAACAATTTAAAACTGACCGATTTCCAGATTATAGAAATGAGGTAAAACAGTTTTTGAATTTTTCATTGCCCCAAAAATGTGTTTTCTGAAAAAAAAAACAAATCATTCTGCACTGTACAACCAAAAGTACAACATTATTATTCACGAACCAATGAAAAATATATCAACCAGAGTATTTTAGATGTGGATAAAATGGTATCTTGTCATTTCCAATATAAATGAGATATATATATTTTTCATATTCAAAAGTGTCCATATGACCTGTATTCATATAGATTTAAGTTAAAAATAGGGAGGCCTTAAATTTGATCTATTTTTGCTGTATAATAGTACGTTTATTTTCTCTCTAAATTGTTCGTAATATGTGACCAAGTTTTCGGGTTGTAAAAATGCTCCAAAAGTTTCGAGAAACAACTTCTTCAATTAGAAGAATCGATTAATCGAGTCTATTGGTACTTAAGAAAGTAATGTTCCAATTTAGAAATTATACTGTTTTGAGAAGCCCAAATATCACAAAATAGCAAAAAAGATAATGAGAAAATGTACAATAGAAAAAAATAGGATATCAATTTGGTTATTTTTTTTTGTTATTTAAAAATAATTAAACAAGAGGCCTATAGTTGATTGATTGTAAATTCAAATATACATAAAATAGTTTTCATAAAGAATTGAATTGTCTACTTAAATATTTAATTGATAAATATTTGGTTGTCTACTTGTAACACCTAAAATTGAGAAATTAAGAGGTTGTCACACTCCCACTTTTTAAGGGATTTATATAGGACATTTTAAATACATATTGAGAAAAATGAAAATGTTTAATATTTTTAAACACGAATTCAAATTTCCTGACCAGTACTCCTATGTCAGTGCCATTGTGGATTTAGTTGATGCTTAATAATATTATGAGCATATAATATAGAAAAACGGTTCACGTGAAAGGACCACTTAAGGTGTATTACTGTATTAGAGGGATGTCAGTGAACTATTAATTTTCTCTATCTAAACCACGCGTGTAACATACCAAATGTTCTGTTGATCTAATTTAGTGTTGTTAGCTTTAATATTAAAAAGTGAATTTACTATTGTCAGAATTAATGACAATAATGAATTTTGGTTCGCTCATGGACTTTTATTGATATTTTTAACTTAAAAGCGAGTTAACAGAATTTAAAAATTGTAATATTTTACAAAGTTGTAACTGACTTTATACTTAAATATCTAAGGAAATCTCACATTACGTTGCATTGGTTTCTTGGAGAATATTCTGATTTTTATGTTTGATAATAGGTCAACTAACTCCAAGATTAATGCAAACATCACAAAGTTGGATCTTGTGAACACAAATCAACTTTTTGGCGATGCGAATCAAACATAAAAATCCAAAAATACAGCAAAATGTTGTCTACTGTATGATGTATAAATTTAGTATCATAAATTTGACTGTGATCTGAGAGGTTCTTTTATACATAAACGGTTTTCACAAAAAAATTATTCTTTTTTTGGTAGGTATAATATTAATCAATCCTAAGTAAGTATACCCATGACATCATATGTTATTCAAACCATAATTATTACATTTTGTCTTCATCACAAGTAAATCTGAAAATCTTTACGAATATTGTGTTTTTACAACCGTCTAAAAATATGATTTTAAATTAATTTAAAATGCACAATAATCGGATGTATTCAAATTATAAGGTATTTGTAGTTTTAAACTTAGCTTTAATTTTATATTCATGAACGTTTCGTGAATAATTATTACCTATTGTAATATTCTTTATTGTATAATTTCATACATTTCTCAAATCTTTAATCATTAAATAATTTCATGAGCAAATTACGATATTAAATTTCAATTATTTAAATTGTAAATGCTTAATATATATATTATTGTAATTAAAAATTAAACTCAGATCCATTTTTTTATCAACTTTAATTTATCAGCTTATTACTGTTTTCATATTTTCAGGTACCTATTTAAAAATATTCATCGCTCATGATCTCTGTATAATTTACCCATAACTTTATTTTATTAATACTTCCTTATTGTTAGTTATTTATTTAGTAACCAGCTCTATGCATGTCAGTGTGTCACACAATATTTATGTTGAGTAATACGATAACGATGGCGTATCGAATAAAATAACTTGTCCTTGATCTTACCAAATATAACAAAATAATGTACAAGTAACCTATTAAGTGAAAATCACTAAATTGTTGTTATTAGTTATATATTTAATATACCATCCATTATTTGGAAAAATATTCATCGACCATTTTATTATGCGAAAGGCCATTCAATAACCTTAACATATTACAATATAAAGAATACAGTATCATATTGTTATATTAAGGTATAACTATTATGCCTTCGACATTTTCGTTCGTGAACATTAGAAAATAATATGTTAACTTTTATACCGGTTACTAGTTAGTCCCACTTAGGTATATTTTAATATTTTCTTGATGTTAATTTCCAGATACATGAAATAATGGTTTGCCATAATGGCAAATGGAAAATATGGACAGTCTTTATACTTAGGAAATTAGTTTTAAATAATTTAATTTTAGTGTAATAATAGTGTATTAGTGTCTGCTAATAGCGATTATAAAAGAAATATTATTTTAATTAATTACTATAATATTAAAATATACAGATGATTCGATTTAGTTAATCGCTTAAATAAAACGGATTTAAATCAATTTATCTTGTGTGGATAATTTATTATAATTATTGTGATTTATGAAAGATAATATATTATACATATTTTTGATGAAATTAATTTGTTCATAATGAGTAATGACTGAAAACTATTGTTTTGAGGCATACGTCATAATATGTCCATATAGTAATTGAATTACAAATGGCGATGTCGTTTATTTGGTTGACAAGTATGCATAAATTATTATATATGTTATACCGTCTCAATTGCTCTAATTCTCAACTATATCTGAGATATAAAATGTGTACAGTCAAAAGTGGAGGTAAAAAAAGATTCGTTGGACGCAGTAGTAAAATAAATGATTTTAGTAAGTTGTTTAGTGTATAGAACATTAAATTGCATCATATTATACGTGTAGATGACTAACACGCTACTTATTACTGAATATCATTAAATTATTATAGTATAATATTATGTTTGTTTACTGAGTACACCTAAAATATAAAAACCCTGTTAAATAAATTACAATTCTTAAACAATATTATTTTTAAAATATCTTTGTCAGGCATTGGAGAGGAATGTATAGATGCCTTTCTAACACGAATAAAGACTATACGCCTTTTGGGAAACTCCCCTCCCCCTCAACTAAAAAAATTATATGCATTTTTAAATATACCTGCTTCTATGGAAAAATTTACCATTTTAAAGTAATTACAAATATTTCATAAATAATGATGATTTGGTACCTTATTATCATTGTGATGAAATGTATATCAAGATATTTAAAATTAATATTATTTTACAACAGTGAGATTCTCATCATTCTAAATTATGCAACTTTTATGATGGTCTCTGAGATATAGGTTTTTTGAAAAAGAGGCATAAAAGGCGTTTTTCCAAAGTTATTTGCAGCGTAGATAGATACTTAATACACATACACAGATATATTATACATGCATTGTATAACTATTGTTAAATTAATGTTTTGATAGTGAATTAACATGTAATTCAATATAATACTATTATATTAACAATGTGTATAAAAAACTTGAATGATCGGGATTTTTTTTTATTATCATTACTTTTATTGATATTATTGTTCTACAAACTCACAGAAAACGTCACTAAAAATAAAATATATTAAATAATATCTATTATAATTATATACTTTTGCTTGCAGATTTCTCGCTAACAGACAGAAGCGTCAGAGCCTGGCGGCCGCCAACGCCGTTAGAACCGAACAAAAGGCCAGCAAAGTGTTGGGAGTCGTGTTCTTCACTTTCGTGTTATGCTGGTCACCATTCTTCTTGTTGAACATCGTGTTTGCTGTCTGTCCAAAGGAGAGCTGCCCTGTACCAGACCACGTGACCGAGGTGTGCCTCTGGTTGGGATACGTGTCTTCAACAATAAACCCGATTATCTACACGATATTTAACAAGACGTTTAGAGCCGCATTTATCAGGTGATTTGAAATCTAATAATGAATGGTCCGAAATTAACTACAGGTACATGTGGTCAGTGTCACAGTGTCTAATTTACCGACTCCGTCGGATAGGTATATGTTAAAAATTAAAACGATATTAGGTACTGCATAACAGTGACGAGATCAGCTTTTTTTAAAGGGAGAAAGAATATGATTTTATTACTATTCTCATGCAACGTTTTAATATTGGGATAAAATATGCTTTCATTGTCTTATCATATATTTTATAAGACAAAGGGGGGGAGGGGAGATATGTCATATTACAACCCCCTCCCCTCCCATCAATACCTCTGTGTATGACACATTAGTTGTGTCTACACACACGCCGACGGTGGTCATGCTGTAGTTTCGTGTAATGTTAAAAATTATAATAACGATACAAAAAGGAAAAATACTGAAAAACCTGATGTTAAAATATTGCGGACAATTATTGATTAGACCCGTAGTGACTTGAGGTAGGTTTCATTCCGACGGATTATTGAAACGAGTTGGTCTAGAATATTGCGGTGTTGTAATTAAATTTACGATCGACCGAGTGTTCTTAGAACTTTTCAATTAAAAAAACTAATGTAATATAAATAAAGTTTCCGTTGTGTTTTAAAAACAGTGTAATGTTTTCTTCGGATTTGTCCGACAAAAATGCAGCATGATGACAAATGATTTCAGTGCCACCAAATATTATTGAATACGATCGATCAGGGGTAAATTTCGTACAAACTTCGATTAGGTACACTGCTGTTAGAAGAACCTTATTATTAAAAAAGTAACTTCCAAATCCAAAGTAATGTGTTCTTAAGTAAATGTAATTTGAAGTATATTATCTGCGCAATAGTGGCTGTAGCTGATAACTCTTGAATTATTTCATCACCACTCTACTCATCTTGACTCTTCTATTCTAATCCGCAAGAATAGAAAATAAGTAAAACTATGTATTTTGTTACCGCGTTCGCCGATACCGTTTACGAAGCATTTTATACAGCAACGGTTCATATTTTGCTGGGGACTATGAAATCCAAATCCAAATATCCGTAATGAGTTATAAAAAGTATAAAACACCTAAAAAACAACCCAAAAGGTAAAACGTGTAGATATATTGCTATATAATTACTGTAATAACAGTAGTGGTATACTAATAAAACTTAACGTTAAAATGATAATGACGAAACAAATTACGTTCGACGTGCTGGCGGTGTTCCCTCGCGCATTATGATTGTAGCTGTATCGGGTTGGGGAACATGCCCGAACATAATATATTATGTATACAGGTAATTTAGTGTGGGCCTTTTAATTATTATTTTAACTGCATTCAGGGAGCTACAGGAAATATAGTCCAAATAATATTAATATGTTCTTGTTGATACATTTATTATAACACATCATAATCAACATTAAATATTATACAATGTTTCGAAAGACTTAGTGTATATAATATGTATAATAGTCATCCCGAGTTCTTTAGTGTTGTTACCGTAGAACAATTGAACTTGTTACGACGTGTATCTTTTAAAGTTTTAACATGGGTTTAATAAAATGATAATAATATTATTATCATGTCCATGATTTAGGAGTCATTGCATAGGCACATGTGAAAATTAACTATTTAAACAATTAATGTTAAGTTATAAAGTTATTTAAAAATATTAATATTTAATTATTTTTGGCTCAACTATATTAAGTATCGATTGCAATAACTTAGCTTTTCCCACTTTCAAAGTAAATTTTAGTAATGGTTTTTCATTGTCGAGTTAAAATCTTGTTTTTAAATACTATATATATAAATGTAATTCTAATTTTTTAGTTATTTTCCGACGAATAACGCTGTATGCAAACATTTAAATAAACATTTACTGTTAAATTCCTAGATTTAAAAATGCATTTGACACTAATCTGTAATTGCCCAAACAATTATGGTTAGTGTGCAATAACATTGAATCGTAGAATGTATTTTAACATAGATAATATGTTTATATGTTTTTGAGTTGGGTACAACTTTTTTTTTCTAGCCGATTTTTGTATTTCTTTGTTAAGTGTCATAAAAACATAAATCAATAAAAAAAGAAATTTAAATTAAAGTCGTAACAAAATTTAGTTTGTTGCTAGATATTTTTCCAATGCACTATACCCAGAAATAAGTCCATAATTCGTCAATTTCCCTTACAGAGGAAAAATATATAGTAGCATGCTATGCTTATAATTTTAGCAAAATATTTAATAACTGTTTAAACGCTTTAAAGTTGCAATTTATTAAAAATAAATAAATATTTGAGTCAAGTTGATTTTTTCGTATTGTAGTTTCAAACATTGAAATATATATTTTATGATAACTGTTCCTTTATAACTTAAAGTCCTTAGCTTTTACCAAGCTCAACTAACTGAAGTTCATCGTTTTCAATAAATTAAGTTGTCAACCGTTATGTATTATATTATTACGTGTTGTATTGCATATTAGTATGTGCCAGTATATTATTGTATCGCGTCGGGTAGCCTTTGGATGGGCACTTGACGATTTCGGGTCTTACCAATTTCGAGTTTTTATGTCATTTGATTCGGATCGATTTTCATTCCTATCGCGATCCGTCTGTTCCAGGTTGCTCAAATGCCGATGTCACAAGACCAGACCTCACCGGTACAGATCGGTGACGGACAACCGACATTCCGCTCTGATAAGCACTCCGTCCGGGGCGGCTGCCGGAGCCGCCACTGTGCCGTTGTCCCTGTCGCTCCAGACCACTCCACTGAACACGTCGCCACTTGTGAATGACGCCGCCACTACGACCTTTGCCGACACAGCCGTTGCCGTCATGGCTGCGGCCGCTGCGTCTAAGAAAACGACATCCACGCCCGAGTACCCAGACTCATTTATTGTCCAAGAATGCCCGGAGGACAGGGCCAAATACTGAACCTGAGTGGGCTGTGGCCGTTTCCGCTCGGACGATGTCGTCCCGAAACTTGAAAATATTCGAGTACTTATAATAATATGTTGTTTTATTGTTATTTTGTTTTTACAGCATAACGATATAATACGTAATATTAGATCTCATAATATATTATTATGTCCGATCAGGCCGAGTTGTTTCGCATACGAAGTGGACCTACATATTGTAAAAGACGTGTTTAGAAGGGATTTACTAGTGTAAATGTGTGATATTAACTTTCTATAATATTATATTATAATTGTTGTCGCAATCAACATTTCAATTGTTTTTTTATATATATAATAATACTATTCCTAAAAAAATTGAAATTCTTGTTATGTTGATTACAACAAAAGTTATCATATAGTTGGTTAATATTACATTCGTCAGTTAATTTCTACAGTTAAACTCTACAGCTATATATGTGTGTACTAAGTATCACTTCTGGATTCACTTCCACTGATGTCCCCATCTGAATTCATGGTAATATGTAAAACCAGAGTTATTATTTATTATTATTATCATATTAATAGACATATCACAATATGCGTCCACTCTGTCTTCCTTTGTTTCCTCCTAACCCTTTCACTTGCTTCCTGTCTGTGCACCCACCCAAGCACTCGTATCTATGCATTTTCATATACGATGTAAGTAATCGAAATAAAAACAACTGCTAACAATGAGGAGGGCCAATCAATCTTTATGAATAGGTACCTATCCCGTAGGAAAAACGCACACTCGCCAGAGACGGGGAAGTAATATTATGTGAATAATCGCACCTCTCGGTGGATGAAAAAAAAAATAATAAGGGTGCACTGTGGTTTTTGATCGTTAAATTGATGAACTCTGGGCCTAAAAATCCGAATATAGGATATCGGTATAAAGAGTTTCGTAGGATGGGTGGGAGAAACGAGAGCTCGACGAATTCTTCGCATAAATAACTATTATACAATTATTATTACTTACAAGTGGAAAATTTTATATCGGTGTGTTTTTCATTTTTATTTTTATTTTTATTATTATGTCAAATCTACAATATTTCGTAGGTTTATAATAATAAAATAGGTACGTGTTCAGGATATTTTAGCACGATATTGAGGTACACCAAAACATTAAGATGTTAATAATATTCTTTCTATTGTATAATTTTAATAAGCTAAAGGCAGTAGTTAATATTTGTTATATTATCAACACCGATGTTCGTCAAACCGATTTACTGATTTATATAATGCATAGTTAATAGGTAGTTAACCAATAGGTAGTTAAAAGTAGTTACACAGTAAATAATATTATTAAGTATAGTGCTTTTAGAAATAAATTATAGATTATTTACCATTGTAAATGTATTTTAATAGAAATCATTTTTTTTTATTATTATATATACACCAGTGTGTTAATGTCTTATGTTACGTTCAAATTAATTTATATTTGTTATTCAAACATTTGTGTTATAAATATGTGCGTGGAAATGTAGTTACTTATTCGTTTTAAATCTAAAACATATTGTAGTTAAATAGTATTAATATAAGAGTTATTATCAAAAAAAAAAAAATAAAAATAACGTTATAATTATTTAAATATAATACTGTTTCAAATTTAAGGAATAATTTATAAATTATATTATAACAAGTGTAAAAGTGTTCATTGGTATTTATTATAAAAGTTGAAGAATAAATAAAATTATAAAACAAAATTGGCGTGATAATAGCTTCTTTTATATACTCAACCCAACCAAAAATAATATACGTAGGTACCTATACTCTGTTATTGGTATTTTAAATTACATCAACAATTTACGCAGTATTTATTGTTGGGTCTACACTTTAATGACGTAATGTGTCTTAAAACCATAACATGATAGGTCTAATTTAGGATTAAATGTACCAATGTTGGAACTTTGGAATTTTCATCATTAGTGCAACATATTTTATGTATTATGTCTACTGTCCAGATTCGGTAAAAACTAAGTTTTCCTGAAAAATCAAATTCGTTTAATTGAAATAGTAACTAAATAGATTAAAAATGTTTTTTGTTATTTATCGAATTCGCGTTGGGGAAATTTCAATAAATTTTTAAACCCGTATAGTTTGAATTAGTATTGTTTTAGAGATTCGAATTTCTACTTTGATATTAACAATATTATACGAAACTTACTGGTTTAGAGAGGATTGATTCGTCGAAGTTTGCGAGTTGTTACTTGTTTTTATGTAATTCACAATACAGGAGGGAGAGAAAGTCCAGAGAAGTCCAGAGACGTAAATCCATGCAATTATTTTTCAAAGTTGCTACACGCGACTATTATGCTTCGGCTGTTCGTGCGAATTTGTAAATTCTACATTGTGAACTACATGTTGACGTTATTTCTTTTGTCCACGAGATTCAATCGAATAGTATTTTTTTTAGTTGTTATTGATTTCATACCTTTTGAAATGGGTTTGATGTTTACGCTGTATGATTTTCATTTCAAAACATCATAATTTTATAGTCATTAAATAATATTATTATTATGAAAATAAGTATAATACATTATAAAATAGTGCACAATATCGATCAAATGTATACTCATTAACGAGACTTGATTTTAAGGGTGGCTTTTTGATGACGCTGGATCACTTGTAACACAATTCTATGTGGCTGGTACTTGCTGTTACGTGTAGTAGGTATACACACAGTTTTAATCAAACACCACGCACGAGTGGTATACTGGTATAAACACTTCGTCGTGTACAGGTCGATAGTATTTTTTTTTTTTTTTGAGTTTGTTACAAAAAAAAAAAAAAATAATATTATACCTCGAACGATTTGATTACCTTTATCGAATTCCGTTGATATACCACAGGTACAAGCTAGGTACAATCTTTACAAGTGTATTGCATATTATCAATTATCATGTATTCATGTCTTATTAATTTTTAAAATTTGTGATGAAAAACCTTTTGAGTTATTCTCATATTTCCAGTCGAGCGGCTTTACTGTTTTTTTCTTTATAATGCATGTAATTTTTGATAATTCTTTACTTTCTTATGCCATGAACTGTTCTTACCATATCAAATTATATATTAATCTACAACGAATATAATATAACAATATCCGTTATTATTATAATCTTTATCAGCGTTTCCCAAAGTGTGTTCCGCGGAACCTTAGGGTTCCGTGGGACAATGTCAAGGGTTCCGTTAGATGTATGAGATTATTGAGAAAATTATGTTTATTTAATGTTTGTCGTTTAAAAAATGTTTGATTGAAATTTTTTTTTAAATGAAGTTTAATAATGAAAAGTCATTAACAGTATCATTAAAATATTATTTGGACTTGAGAGTCTAAGGAATTGATTTTCCTTTTTTAATTCACAAAAATTGTAGTTGAGTTGGATTAGACATTAGGGTTCCGCGAAACACAAACAATTTTTTAAGGGTGACGTGGTAGTAAAAGTTTGGGAACCGCTGATCTATATACATGTAGGAGACCATTCACTCATCAACGCCCAGACCAAAACGCTATGTCTAGAGACTTGAAATCTTGTACAGAGGTTCTTTAAACAATGTAGGGGTGCACTAAGAAAGGATTTTTCGAAATTCAACCTCTAAAGGGGTAAAATGTTTTTTTCATAAAGCTATATAATACACGGGCAACGCCGTGACGGGACACCTAGTATAATATAAAATATTACAAATGTATGGATAAATGTTGATTTAAGTCTCGCAAATAATATGTGTCTGTCAGCTACAAATGTTGCTTTTAATCTTATTTTCATATTTATAGTATTATACTTCGTTCAAAGTAAATTACATATAGGATGATCCATTTAAGAGGGTACACTAATTATTTAAAAAAGTATTAACTTTTTTTGAATTTTTTTTTTAAACTTTTAAATTTATGCTTTTCTAAAACTGTATAATATTTTAATTTGTTTCACCCTTATATTTATTGATGAAACCAATATCAACTTTTGATTTTCAAACTGGAACATATGAAAAAAAGGTCATAAATTAATAAAACTATTTTATAAATGTTCACATTAAAATTTTTATTATTTGTTATTTGGTTTGCAAGATACAGTTAATTAAAGTTTGGTGGTTTAAGGAGGTGTTATAGTCGGCAGTGCTACAAATATCCAGCTATCCAAATTACCAGTTTCCTGCTAATCATGCGTCGTAATTAGGAATGTCTAATTAGTCGATACGCTAATAAATGATTTGTGTTCAAAGTACAATAGTTATCATTTATTAATTGTTACCTTAACTTGAACAGTATCAAATTTATTACTTATAGCACCTGCTCTTTACAAATGAATAAATAGTATCAACAAATCCTTGAACCACCAAAATTGAGGCTCTTTATCTCGCAAACGAAATAACGAAAAATATAAATTGTTATGCAAATATTTATAAATAGAATGGTTTTCATGGTATATGACCTTTTTATCATATGTTCCCATTTGAAAATCAAAAGTTGATAGTGGTTTCACCAATCAATAAAAGGGTGAAAAAAATAATATTAATTACACTGTAATAGTAAAGACTAAATCTAAAAGTTTAAAAAAAAAATTCAAAAAAATATAATACTTGTTGAGATAATTAGTGTACCCTATTAAATGGATAACCCTGTATACTATTTTCACGTTATATATGTAGTGAAATATCTATCATGTCTCATGTCTAAAAATAAAACTAGCCTTGGATAAAATTGATTAACTTACCTTAACCCATATGAGCCAGCTAAAAAATCTTACGAACGATTATAATTGATCAGAATTTTACGAATCACTGTGTATGACATAATATTTTTTATTGTATATTCAGTTTTAATTTTAAATCCCTAGAGAAAAATATTTTGAATGCAAAGAGATTTTATGATTTGAACATATTATCAAATTGTCAGATTAAAGTAAAAAGTATTACTCCTATTATTAATATCAATAGATAACTATTGAATATACTTAAACCTAGCCCATGCAGTGACTATAGATATTAAGTCATACTTAAAGTAGGTATCAAGATATGAATGAAAATCTATCATTACAATAATATAATGTATCTCTTACTAAACGGATAAACGGTAAGCAAGAGTACCAGACGTCATCTTTGAAGCCCTCCATCCAGACAACATAAATGACACAATGACATTTATAATTAAGACTAACTTAATCAATAATTTGTAACTACTACACTAATATTAACGAATTTTAAGATAATATATATTGATGTATATCTATAAAATGTCGAAGCCAATTGCCTTAGATGCCGGGCCTATAAGCGAAAAAAAAATAATAATTATATATATTAATACAATAAGAGAATATATTTTTAAATAATCTTGAACTTAATATAGTTATTTTTTAAGAGTAATTACAATAATAAACTACTTGAAATTTGATCTGGGGTTGACAAACTTTTTATATGCCAAGGACAAAAAATAAATATACATTTTGCATGGGCCACGATTTGAGTATACTTGCGTTATTTTATTTTAAACAAAAATATATAGTCATACAATTCTAAGACACTTTGGTTTTGATTCACACAAAACTATTGTTGTTTCAAAAATCTCATAGAACATTACATAAGTACAACAACTGCACATTTAGAGCAACGTACGCTATTAACTATTAAATGGTTAAGTTTTTCTGGCTACCATCTTAAGCAAGTTTTGAGAATCTAAAATACAAAACTTTAAAAATACTTATAACTCGCTTAAGAATGCATACGTTTTACAAACATCAAGAGAAGACACAGATAATCTTTTTACATTTAAATTGTAACTGATGAACTCACATTTGCTATGTTATACATTTGTAAAATGGACAATGTGGAATAACAAGCAAAGCACCACTTTGGTCCTGCCAAAAAAATTTGAATCATGAATATAAACAAATTATTTCTGTACTAAATATTTTATTAATATCGATAATATTATATCATATCGATGTAAAAAAGTTAATTAATATTAGAAACACAATTATAGTTTTATATTGTTTTCTGATTTAAAAAAAAATGTTAATTCATTTTATTACATTTTATTTTATTATGAGTAATTAAAAAAAATTACAATAATAAATAATTCTATTCCTAATATAAATTGATCAATGATCGATGCACACGTACACAGCTTTGATACACAAATTAATTCTTGTGTAAGAAGCAGACAGACTTATTAATTTTAATTCTAGAAAATCATCTACATTCTACGTATAAACAGGTAAATAAAAGTTAATATTCAGAATATTTAAAAGTTAAAATTTATAGTTATTAATAATACAATTTAAAACAAAATATTGCAAAACAAAAATAATTTGTCTGTATTTGCGATTCATATTGCATGTAACATAGACAACACATGCCGCTATTGTGGTTCTCATAATGTTACAGTGCTTTTCAGTTGGAAATTACGAAAAAATAATGGTTACAATATTGTACTTTATGTATTTTTTTTCAGTAAGAACTATTTATAATTATTAAATGCCTACCACAAACTACACACATGTGACTACACGAGTACCTACTCAACGTGTTGATACATATTTAGTTTCGCATGTCTTCCTCCAGTATCATGCAATA